TATATATATATAATTATATGTGTATATATATATAGATGCATATAACATATGCATATGTGTGTGTGCATGACATGAATTCTCGGGCTGAGGGAGTCGGGCCTGCCCTTGTTGATCTGCAGCGTTGACATCGGCCCGGGCCTCCCGAAAGCAGGATGCAAACCCGACTCCCTGCTTGGAGGGCTTAGGGTTTTGGGTTTAGGGGTTTAGGGCTTCGGGTGGGTTTAGGGTTATAGGGTTTAAGGGTTTAGGGGTTTAGGGTTTAGGGCGTTGGTAAGTAGGGAACGCTCCGAAGGGCTCTCTAAAGACACTGCAAGGGGTACTTTAAAAAAATTGGGTGAGTTAGTAAGTAGCTATTCAGTGGTGTTATAAGTCATAGGTGGGACAGTTCGACCCAAAGCTCTACGTATGGCCTACTCACAAAGTCCCACGACCCATGCCAATGCCCAGGGGTCCTTGAAGGGTTCTTGCATAAGGAATGTATGGTGTGGGATTGGTGGTTTAGGGGTGTATGGGAACCCTAAACCCTAAACCCTAGATCCTAAACCCTAAGCCCTAACCCTAAACCCTAAAAGGAGTAACGATTCGGATAAGGCTTTTAAGCAGCTTCGACTGTTGGTAAGCAGGGTTCTGGGGGTTGAGGACTACGATTTGAGACTTCATACTATGAGGGGCCTTAATAATTCCCTATACTACGGTTTAGGGCTTAGGGGTTTAGGGCTTTTTGGGGGGTTCCTTAATATAGTTATAGTATATTTTACCCCAAACCCTATTGAAATTCGTTTTAAGGCCCCTATATTAAGTGGTAGTGCTCCCGACATCTTCTCGTCATGAGCATTCATGTTCTTGTATACCTTAATTAACTGGTTCTAAACCCAAATTGACCCCTGAGACCGTGAACCTGCAGAATCGAACCCTGAACCCACCGTTGAAACCTGAAAACCCCAACAGCCCTGAAACCCTTCAGGCTGGACTCTCCCCTCAACGCCTAAGCCCCTAAAACCCTAAACCCAAAACCCTAAAACCCTAAACCCCTACCTAAAACCAAAAAAAAACCTAAAACCTAAACCCTATAAACCCTAAGCCCTACGACTTAACCCTCATAGAAGGCTAGACCGCCGCCTGCAGGAGCAGCAAGAGCATGGAAGCCTGACCATTGCGGCTGGCCGCCGAAAGCCTCCAGGTACCAGGGTTAAGAGTTTAGCGGTTAGGGTTTAGGGCGGTTTAGGGTTTAGGGTTTAGGGTTTGGGGCTTAGGGTTTAGTGTTTAGGGTTTAGGGTTTAGGGCTTAGTGTTTAGGGCTTAGGGTTTAGAATTAGGGTTTAGGGTTTCTCAAGTTTGCATCGCTTCTAGGGCTAAGTACCCCTCCAAAGTCGACCGTGAATTTGTGGTCGCAGCTGACACACCCAAAAAAGTTATACAGACCTCTAAGCTAAGTGAGCGGTGGGCCGTCGAAACGGTTTTAGGGCTTGGGTTTCGGGTTAGGGAAACCCTAAGCCCTAAACCCTAAACCCTAAACCGAAACTGCAAAGGGGGCAGGGAGTCCCTGCTCCTTTCATGGACAATCAGAATGTTCAGAAAGGCCCGGGAAGGAATCGGAAATATCCGCAGTAACCCAGGAACCTAGTTAAGAAACCCTAAACCCTAAACCCGCAATCCTGAACCCTAAATCCTAAACCCTCAGTCCTAAACCCTAAACCCTATAACTATAACCCCAACATAACGGGGTCCTATAAAAACGAACCCTAACAAAGACCCCGGCCTTCGTAGTCAGGCTCCTATGCTAGACCCCCTAAACCCCCTAATACCCCCTGAAACCCCTCGACTTCGGGCTTAGGGCTTACGGTTCAGGGTTTGGGCTTTGGGAACGCTAAAAAACTTTAGTATAGAACCCTCTAAACCCTAAACCCTACACCCCGCAACCCCTAAACCCTAAACCCTGAAACCCTAAAGGAACCCTTAATAATACCCTTTAGACGAACCCCGGGTTCCTGTCGAGGGTTTAGGGTTTAGGGTCTAAGGGTTAGGGTTTAGGGCTTAATGGTTTAAGGGTGGACCCCTTCAGTCTACAATAGGAATTACGGTCTAAGGTCTAGGGTTTAGGGCTTAAGGGTTTAAGGGTTTCGTTCGGGCTCCCTTCTAGGCCTAAGTTGCTAGGAGTTGGTCCTATATTGAACGGCTGGCCACCTAAAAGCCTCAACCCCAAAACCTGAACAGCAGAAGAAGAAGAAGAGCTGCTTGAGGTAAACCGTAAACCCTTAAACCCTTAACCCCTAAACCTGAAACCCTTTAACCCTCTGACCCTTAAGCCCTAAAACCCTAACACTCTTCAAAGGGAGGGCTGCCGTTTACGTAGAGTTCACGGGTCGAGGTGACTGGATCGGGGTTTAGGATTTAGGCTGTTGGGTTTAGGGTTTATGTAGAGTTCATGGGTTGAGGTGACTGGAACGAGGTTTAGGGTTTTGGGTTTATGTAGAGTTCAAGGGTTGAGGTGACTGGAACGGGGTTTCGGGACTACAGAATACAACTTGACATACACGCCTTCAAGGAAGCGAAGATATTTCAGGGGGCGTATGGGTGTACTGGCCCATTCTTTCAACAATCTCAAGGACAGCCAAAAAGGACTTCGACCAAGAGTCTCAAAACCCTAAACCCCAAGCCCTAAACCCCAAACCCTGTAGCCCTAAACCCTAAACCCCCGAGCCCTCAACCCTGAAATCGAAGCCCAGGTCGTGGGCAATGTGTGTAATGTAGGGGCCTTGATCATGAGAAGCAGGTTTTGGGGTAGATTATACTATAACTATAATAAGGAAACCCGAAAATTAGTACTGGTAATCATCTATGCCCCCAGAGGAAGTATGCCCTGAACTGGCGTTGATGGCCAAGTTGCGGGGTGAGGCCACGAAAGGAGAACCTGTCAGTGGAATGTTGCCCTAAAACCCCAAACTCCAAAATCCAAAAACCCTATAGACCGTAAACCCTAAACCCTGATATCCTAGACCCTAAACCCTAAACCCTAAACCCTAAACCCTACAAAAAACCTTCGGGTTTGGGGCTCTGGGCTTGTGCTTAAGACACTCAACCTAGCCTGGAAAGCCTCCGTGCCCTCATCCCCCATAAGTACCGAACATAGGGTTTAGGGCTTTAACCCTAAACCCGTAACCCTTAAGCCCTATATACCCTAAACCCGAAACCCTAATACTAAGCAATAGACACTGAGCCCTGAACCCTGAACCCTACGCCCTTGAACCCTAAACCCTGCACCCGAAACTCTACACCCTAAACCTTAAAACCCTAAACCCTACACCCTATCCCCTAAGCCCTTGAACCCTAAATCCAAAGCCCTTAAACCCAATACCCAAATACCCGAAACCTTACCTGAATAGTGCTTCTCACCGCGACGTGCGAGTATACTCTTGCGAAGATGTGCTGGCTTTCTAGGTTCGCAAAGGTCACGGAGCGTGTGTTCTTGTTCTGAAGGGGTTTGGGTTTAGGGTTTCGGGCCCTAAACCCTAAACCCACTAAACCCACCCTAGACCCCAACCCCAAACCCTAAACCCTAAACCCTCTAAACGGGCCCTGAAAGGGTTCCGTAAGAGTTCAACACTGCCCCTGCCAGGGCTCTTTAAGAGTTCTATGGGGACCCGAAGAGTTCTACAATGGGTCTATGGCTAGGTGTCGCTTTCAAGGGCCCCCCAAAACGGGTTTAAGGTTTAGGGTTTAGGGTTTAGGGTTTAGGGTTTAGGGTTTAGGGTTTAGGGTCAGTACAAAATTAAACCAACATGGGACATCCTAAACCTTAAACTCTAAACCCCTAAACCCCTAAACCCTGAGCCCTAAACACTGAACCCCTAGATAAGGATGTGGAGCTGAACCCCTAGATAAGGATGTGAAGCTTAGAGCATAAACTTTGCACGGGAACGGAGACGGTATCGGGACTATGCTCGAGGGCGGTTGGCTGAAAGCTACACATCTACCAACTACTGCTAAGGAAATAAACCCTGCATTACCTTAAGGACCCTAAACTATGGGAATTATGGTATATTCCTTCTTATGGGTAATGCAAGATTTAGATTATCAACCGTAGGTTGAATAAGAGTCCTCATAAAAGCTTTAGGGTTTAGGGCTTAGGGTTCCCATAAAGTTTTTTAAGAAGATGTACACTGTTGAAGAGTGGCGTAAAGATGGCACGTACACGAATGCTAGTCCATAAACTGCAACCACTATCCTTGCAGCGTTACTCTCGGAGCCTGTATCCCGAGGCCGGTCCTCAGCACTAAACCCTAAACAACTCTAAACCCTGCGCCCTAAACCCTAAACCCGAAACAACTCTAGACTCAAAGCCCTGGACCCTAAACCCAAAGCCCCAAAAAACTCTAAACCCTGGACCCTAATCCCTAAACAACTCTAAGCCCTGGACCCTAAACCCTAAACCCGAAACAACTCTAGACTCTAAACCCTGGACCCTAAACCCTAAGCCCTAAAAAACTCCAAACCCTGGACCCTAAACCCTAAACAACTCTAAGCCCTGGACCCTAAACCCAAAACCCTAAACAACTCTAAACCCTGGACCCTAATCCCTAAACAACTCTAAGCCCTGGACCCTAAAACCTAAACCCTAAAAAACTCTAACCCCTGGACCCTAAACCTTCAACAACTCTAACCCCTGGACCCTAAACCCTAAACAACTCTAAGCCCTGGACCCTAATAAACCCTAAACCCGAACCCCTTGACCCTAACCCCTCAACCCCAAACCCAAAACCCCAAAGCTTCACAGCTCTGGCTCATTGCAAGGCAGGTCACGAGGTGAACGTCACATTGGGGTTCTGCGCCTTGCCCAGGATTTCCTGGAAAGAGCGCTTTTGTTAGGGCTTTGGGGGGGTTGGGGATTTAGGGGTTTAGTGTTTGGGGATTTGGGGTTTTAGGGATTTAGGGGTTTAGTGCTTGGGGATTTTGGGTTTTAGGGATTTAGGGGTGTGGTGTAGGGCTTCTGGGGCAGCTGCATCAAGCGCTGTTGCATGGCTTGGGGCTTGGATTTCAGGGTCCAGGGCTTGCGGCCCCGAAACCCTAAACCCTAAACCGCGGGGTGTGGGATTTGGGGTTTGTCGTCATCCTCACTGCAGCCCTACTCGTAAGTTTTATCATCCTGCAAGCAGTTGGATTCATAGTTGTAGAACCCGGTAGACCGCCTTAAACCCGAAACCCTAAACC